AGGTAAAAGGCTCATTGAGATTAGAAATCTCTTTTTCAAGAGTGACCTGGCCAAGAGGGCAGCATAGAAAGAAAATAGTTCCTACATGAAACTGCTCACAACAAGGTCTGTGGATTATCTTGAGTTAGCGGGTCATGATTTCCGGAAAGAGACATTGTTGAGTTAAAATTAAAAAACCCAAAACAAACAAACAAACAAAAAAACAAAAAAAACAATTGCCATTTTGAGCACTACAAGCTGAGTGTCATCTAGTTCCATTGTATTGGAGTGATGGCAGACATCTCTATGGCTGATATCTCCAACACTCTGCAGCTCATACCAAAAATGTCTCTACTGATAAATAGCCCTGCAGGTAAGGGGAACAATATGTATTTTTGTATTTGAGGTGAACTGTCCCTTTAGAGATCAGAAATTTAAAGATAGGTTTTGATATACAATATTCCCCGAAGGCACCCGTTCACTGTGTTGAGCAAAGTGAGAGTATTCCTCTGAGTCAGTCTCTCGGTGATGTTGGCCTGTTGCTGCACTTCTGCTGCTCCTTTAGTTCTACATGTAAACAGTGGTACAACACAAATCAGCGCTTGCCCCGCCATGTCACTATGAGTAAGCCTCCCCCTTTGCAGCGTCAGCTTGTGTCTGCGTGGAAGAATTTACCATCTGCCGATAATCTAGCATAGGATGTCAAGGATTTGTCGAGGCTTTGCATGTATATTCTGGACACTGTCCCAAACTGCCTCCACGGTACAGTACAGGGTATACAAGCCAGTATGTTGTCATTCAGAGCCTGTTGTGTTTGTCTGTAGACATGTTGTACCTCATGAAAAGCAGATGATAGAAACATTGTACATGTGCTAAAGGTTTTCCCAGAGGAGCTGATGATGTGATTAGTTTTTGAAGCACCTTGCTGCATAACATTTGCATATATTTAAAACAATAAATGATGAAGGTGGCTTCCTTCATTTTTTTAATTTTTTGTAAGCTTTATAAGGACTTCATCCCACATGGGGATCATATGTGACACCCGGGGCTGGGAACCTAACCACCCGCCCATCTGTGGGCATCGCATGCTAAACTTTTGTTGTGGTAGAAACACAACAAAGCCAGAGGCAGAGAGGGAGAGACGGAGAGCGCCTGAGACAGGAAGAGAGAGAGAGAGAGAGGGAGAGGGAAAGCTTGTAGCCCCCGAGGGCCTCAGTCCTATCTGTCACTGTGCCAGAACGATTCGCCCTGTTACTGATCCATGGACACCAAGTCTACAGGTCAACTGTGACAGCCTGCTTGGTGTGTGTGTGTGTTTGTGTCTTATGTAGGTGCGGGCGGGTACATCAGTGCATCTGCATTCTGTCTCCCATGATGCCAGTGGCTGTCAGTCTTCATCTCCTGATGCAGAATACAGAAGTGTGTGTGTTTGTGTGTGTGTGTAGGAAGTGTGTATGTGGTCACTAATGAAATGAGATGCAGCTAGAGAAGTGGCGAAGGGCGTCACGGGGTTAGAGATGCACGAGAGCAATATGTTGCCACGGCAACAGTCAATGAGACTTTGTCCACGTGAGAGTGGCTCATGTAGGGAGAGTGAGAGATTCAGAGAGAGAGAGAGAGGGGCGGAAACAAGTGGAAGTGAAGCAGTTGCCATAGCGACTCTCCTTTGCAGCTGCCTGTAAATTTCTCTCTCCCCAGTGTGAGTGTGTCTGCCTGAATGATGCACTGGGTTTAGCTTTGGCTCTGTATTAAGTATGACTGTGTATGTGTGATACCCCAGTGTATCGCTGGTGTTTTAGGGTGTGTGTTCCATGAAACATCTGATGCATGTTTCAGCAGGTATTTCACATACCTCACATATTTATTTATATA